GCTTCGACTACCAAGGCAGCCCGGAAATAGCAGTTCACAAGAGAGTGAAAAGACATACAAAAGAAGTAGAAGAAAAAAGACAATAGTAAGGATAATGAAAGAAAAAGCAGCAATTCCTCTTATGTTGTTCCGTTACAGTATGAGCATGACATTGAAAAATCAGCCCATTTACAATTGCTTTGGGAACGGCCTATAGACACTTCAGTAAGTAGCACTGCCCTGAGGGGGCCAGAGAGAGAGAGAGAGAGAGAGAGAGAGAGAGAGAGAGAGAGACAGAGAGAGACAGAGAGAGACAGAGAGAGACAGAGAGAGACAGAGAGAGACAGAGAGTGAGAATGAGAGAGAGAGAGAGAGAGTGAGTTACAGAGACATAAACAAAAAACATTTGCAGAAACAGAGACAAACAGACGCCAGACAGACGTCAGACAGACTGAAAGACAGAGACGGACAAACAAAACGTTTAAATATAAAACAATAGAAACAGAGACAAAGGAAAAGGAAGAGAGAGACAGAGAATAACAATTGAGAGAGAGAGAGAGAGAGAGAGAGAGAGAGAGAGAGAGAGAGAGAGAGAGAGAGAGAGAGAGAGAGATGAAAACGGGGCTGATGTCTGTAAGGGAGAAGAACGAGGAAGGCCTTCGTTTTCCAAGGCGGGCTAATAAATTTAGATAGTTTATGGCTGTGCAAATTGTGATGAAATGGAGATGGTAAGGTATCATGTCTGTTCATTCATTACTTTTATGGTACGTCTTGTCCTTTTCCATAAACGGAATATTTGCTTCCATGGCAATATTCTTGAATATTCACGTACTTTTCTACTTTTAAATGTCGGTTTGGCTTACACTTTGCAAACAATTTATACATACATATATATATATATATATATATATATATATATATATCACTATGTCTGCACGACTGTATGTCTACCAGTATTCGTTTTTATCTAGCTAGTCGCCATCTATCTGCCCACTCATTTTTGACTTTAACAAAAATCTCCGGTATGTCACTGAAATAAAATTACTCTGTTAATTGACCAAGAAATGTATCATCTTATCCATAAAAAATAGGGGAGGGTGGGACTGGAAGATGTGGAGAAGTATAAGAAACTTAAGTGTCTCGCGGTGCAAAGGGATGGGGTTGCGGAGGTATAAAAAGCTTTCACAAAATCAAGTGAGTAGGTCTTTTCTTCTTGGTAGTTTTGCTTTGATGTTCAGAAAAGCGATTTATATATTATGTAGCCTCTTATCTGTCTCCCCCTTCTGCAACATTTCTGTCCAATTCTAAAACACGAGTACTAGCAATTAAATTTCTGGTTTCAACTCGCGGAGTACGCAAACTCAGCCTTTCAGTATTCAGTATGAAATCGGAAACAGAACGCCCATATGCCACCCAGCATTTAAATACAATTATTGTTGTCTGTCTTGTTGCTTCTATGCCCACC